CACACGACCCCTCCAAGTACCAGTTCTCCACACCGACATATGTTGTCCTGTACACTACCCTCATTACGGCTTACTGGATCTTCGACTCTGCGATGGCCCAAAAGAGTCATTTCAAGATGCAGCAGCAAGGGATCACTGAGTTCCGCTCTGCATTCCCTCAAGTTCCATGGCACACCGTCAAGAACCCAACCTACATCCAGACCGCCCACGGCAACCGTCTTTTGACTAGCGGATGGTGGGCATACTCTCGCAAGCCTGTAGGTTTTTAGGCCATCACCCCGATTCACCGACTAACAGAATCTTAGAATTATGTCGCCGACTGGACGATGAGCTTCACATGGGGTGCCGTTATTGGCTTCGCTACTCCCATCCCGTACTTCTACAGCGTTTTCTTCATTACGGTGCTTGTTCACCGCACGTCGCGCGACTTTGAACGGTGCGTCGCTTTCCTATTCCACGCACCATCATATGCTCACTCTTCGCAGCTGCCACATGAAGTACGGAAAAGACTGGGAGCAATACTGCTCCGTGGTCAAATCCAAATTTATTCCCGGTATATACTAGATAGTTAAAGGCTTAGTTAGCTCATAATTGCGACCACTGTCTCTTGTACCCTGTATCTTGATTCCATGTGATGATGCTGCGAAATTCACTGGCTTCCCAGCTTCGCGCCTCCGTTGTGTCAGTGTGTGTCCATCCAGTGTGCATATGACCGTGTCACGGATCAGTACCCCGGAACCTGATCGAACGGAACCATTTTGCCATTGTCCCGCTTTGTTCTTGACCATCATCTGCCTTTCAGCCACACCACGCACGAACGATACCTGTATATGCCTAGTAGCCCGCCACTGCTTTCTTGCAAGCACAATAATTGCGCATATTCCACGACGCGAAAGGACCATCTAGATGTTCACGCGCGCTCTCACACAAACGAACGACCGTATCCCTGTTCTTTGTGCCCTTACGCGGCCAAACACTCGAGCGCTCTTCGGCGCCATGGACTCATACACTCTCCCGTGAAAGACCTGAAGTGCCAAACCTGTGGCAAAGGGTTCTCTCGCAAGGACCACCTCGCATCGCACACCTCATCCTGTCAAAAGCGTGAGCAATCAATCAGTGGCAAGAGGAAGCGTTCAAGCGCAAATGATGATGAATATGTGGAGCTGGACTCTGTATTTCAAGCAGGAGAAACTACGGAGGAGGAGGACGCTAGTGTCCGGTCCAGACTCCGCGACCGAAGCTCACTCACCTCTGTTTTCAACCCATCATCTACGACCGACATCGACGACCTCAGAGAGAGTTCTGAAAGCAACGCAAAGTTATCCACTGGACTGGGCAGCAAAAAGCTCAACACTCACACCCCTTCGAGGTCAGTAGCCTCGACGTAGCTAGGCGCATGCTAACACAATAAAGATCAAAACGAAAACCAACCCCACCGTCAACTTATGCACGACGAAAGAAATTGGAAGTCGTTGTTCCGTGTGTAGAGACCATCTGGCCGTGGTATTCATCGCAGGAAAGAGCTGGTGAAAGGCGCATCTCATCACCAGACCCTTCAAACGACGTGAGGTACGCATTTATTGTCAATCTCGCAGCTTATCGTTGACGAGTCTTTCCAGAGAGCCTGGAGCATCCCCATCGTCGCTACCTCAAGATATCCCGAATACCTTTGCAACTATCCCTACCCTAGATGAAATGGAAGAGTCCGAAGTTGCGGACATGCTGTTATTGAACGTTGCATAAGATAACATACTGGTGCGCTCTAATCTTCGCTATCCAGACGCAGAGAGCTCACCTTGTAAATGCAGTATGTTTACTAGTATTGTAATATCACCAATATTCCCAGGCTCATACCATCGACGGGATAGCATTTCACCCAGCTCCTCAAATCTTCCACAGAAGCACCATTACCGCGCCATCCTTTGACTAGCCTTAGGCTCTTCAAGCTTCAACACTCGCTAACTTATGCCAAAAATCACCTGTATTTCAAGCCGCGAGGATGTGCTCTAGAGCATTGTACTAGAAGCAGCTGACTCCGAACCAACAGATGTACCACCTTGCTTCTCCAGATTACAGGAATTCTGAATCAAAGCGGACTGCAGTCTACACATGTGTAAAGGTACTACTTACCAGTTGCATTGGCGGCGTACCGAGCGAGACCTCCAAACTACCGCTCAGGTCTACGCTGAATCGGCTGGCCAGTGATAATCATTGATGATGGTGAGTAGCCGGGTCAAAGCTTGATTTACCACGTTCGAGGCGGGCGACCAGGCGCCCGACGCCCAACTCAATGCACGACGGTTGAAACGTTGAGCGCTGGACGCTGTTTACCAGCTGTTTACAGCAGGATCTTTACGCGACGCTCTATTTCGGATGCTCAAGGTTCTCAACTTCGGGTACAAGACACTTCTTATGGCTTTCCGATTTTTGATGTTCATGGCCGCCACCGTTCAAAGCTCAATGTCCCTGCAAAGCTATAATGAGAACTTGACTGCTCCCTCTTGTGAAGCATAATCCCAATAGGTGTGCTTCAAGGTCTGGTGGGGTGCTGTTGGGGTCATGTTGCTTTTCCCGGGCCGTGAACCAATGTATAATGACCAGGAGATGCAGGCTGCGCTGAAGAGCTATGATTACTCAATGGCATCCTGCGTTTCTCAATACGAAGTGTCAAAAAGGGTGTTCAAGTTATATTTTTGTCTACTGTGTTAACAGGAAACCCCGTCCACCAACAACAGCACTAGCAACCCTGAGGTGCGCTGAAGCAGTAGTTACTACCAAGTACTTACAGGCGGACCAAAGCCATATCTTATCCGTGTCGGTTATCTAGCTGTGCGGTGCCGGTTCATGAGGTCTGCAAGTTGGAAGTGGCTTCTCGCTGCGAAGACCCCTCCTGGTCGTCAAGTTTTCAGACGCGGAATCTGCGATGATTCTGACAAGATGCACGCTTGGACCTTCGGAGTGAGAGGCACGCCGCCTGCCGACGCCGCAGCGACGGCCCACTCTGCAACGGGACTTCGGCGCGGCGGCATTGCTTGTTGCTCGGTCACGACCATCTCCACTCGATTGAACGGACCGACCCTACACAGTCTTCTTGACCCTAGATACTGTATTGCCGGAAATTAGAGTCTCTCTGTAAGGAAAGATGAAGAGTATGCCCTGAGGAACTCGAAGTCCGGGCCTCGGTTCTCAGGAGATATCTCGGTTGTTAGCCTAGTTAATAAGGAGACCACCCACTCGATTTGACGTCCCTCCCTGATTCCCGAAGTCGAGAGTGTTGCATGACGACCACGGCACGCGTTCAACCTTGTCGTTTTACCACCCTCTGCCGTCGTCTTCAACTCTCTTTCTTTTCTTTTCGGGAGGCTGGCCTCAAGCGTTTGTTGTATTAATCATGACACCGTGGAACGATGCAACAAAATACATGCGCATCGTACGTCTCTTGGTCGTAGTGTTTGAGGAAAGATGCTGAGACTCTTTGCAGGTAGCGATGTCGTTTTTCGTGTACGACTGGGCTTGCACGCTTCCAGCGGAAGTTCGCTTGTGTGAGTCCCTTTACGAGAGAAGACGCGTGCACTTTCCAATCGTGTTCCAGACAGGAAACAACGATGGAGCCGTCCCAGCACTGCGTGTGTTCTCCTCCTTCTCACACGCGTACGTCTTCGTGATGCTATCTTATACTTACGAGGCGACTTACTGTTCGACAGTATCTTGGTCTAGCAGCTTTAGTCTTGAACATCTATGGCTTTTTCTCCCATCAATTCACCAAGGAAGTTTGTGCGCAGTACTACCGGGTCATGCCAGTCGTTCAAGTCGCAGCGTCTTGGGCCAGTCATGCGGTTTTCGTGGTCCGAACTATCGCAATCTGCAACAAGGACCGTACAACCACCATAGTCATTGTCATCTTCGCCATCATTGTCGCACTACTGGAGCTGTTCGCCCAGATGTACTCGTTCCGTCGGTTCAAAGCAGGGAGTTCGGGGAACTGTCTTATCCAGTATAGCGATGATGTGAACGTGAGCTGGTTGTACTACCTGGTGCGTGTTCGTGCATCTATTTGCCTGCCATCTTGTTCAACGGTACCATTCAGGTCTCTTCTCTGTTCGATATCGTGGTTGTGTATTTCACATATCGCGGCCTCGCAGTTAACTTCGATGCGCGCAAGACCGACCAGTCGGCATTCAGCGACGTTCTCTGGAACTCATCTATTTTATACTTCGTGACAACAACCATCATCAACCTCCTCAATCTGGCGTTCTATGCATATTATCAGAATAGTAACGCCACTGTGCTTGGGGCTGTTGGAATCGCGTTCACGTCCATGATGAGCGCACGAGTCAGTGAGTGATCCAGTTTTAACAATTCAGTCACGCCTGATAAATATCGAGTCCTCAATCTGCACGACTATGTGCACCGGCCCGCAAGCTTCCAGCTGAGCAACTTCAAGTCCTCTGGTGCCACGAGCATGGGCCCAGTGTCACCTGTATCTCCGGTGCGTCGACTTGTGGTTTTCCCGCGCCAGATGGGCTGACCTTTTGTGCCCTAGCACCACCCTTCCTTTGCTAAAGGGGGAGTAATTCGGGATCTTGAGATGCAATATCCAATACGACGCCCGGGAACCCAACCTGCACCGTGGGAATCACATTGGGAGAGGGACACCGTGACAAAAGATGTGCGGATATGATCTAGTACATATGACCATTGTGTCCAAACTTCCAAGACGAAGCGCTCGTCTTACAGCTTGCTTTCGTATATATTCTATGGCCAGTCTCGTGCATACCAGGCAGGTGCACGAGTAGGTCTGTAACATTCGTTTAACTTCCTGTCTGGCTTACAGTTGTTATAAATTATGCATATTCAAGGCGAGTTTTCAGATGCGGTAATCGTGTAGGCAGGTTCTGCAATAGAAGCGCTGGCTGCTTTTTGGTGTCGCCATTTTGAATGCCAAAGGAACACAATGAAAAAATTACAGGTGATGGGGAGGCTATTTTGGACCCCTTTCATGCCCCATGGCTGAGTTGGTTACAGCGTCCGACTGTTATCCATAACCATCGGAAGGTCGTGAGTTCGAGCCTCACTGGGGCAGATAAAATATTTTTCTCAGTGACTTGAATGTGGGAGTTGGACCGTCGGTCCACGACTCCACTTTTAAGTCTTAGGACTATAGGGTGGCGGACCTATGCTCCCCTGGGGGTACAGTACCGGTACCGTACCTATGCCCGATTTAGGGGGGGGGGTGTACCGTACTCGTACTGTACCGGCACGTGATGAAAACATGTGACCTGCGCCACACCCTGCGTTTGCTTGTTTTTCGAGCTATTTGCCGGCTTTTTCTGCATCTGCATACATATTACGCTTATTAACACCTGGGAAGACACAATTAAATGCTTGGAAGCCTCAGAATCGCAGGTTTTGACCCCACAATGGCTCTGGATTTAGACACCTTTTGGAGCAGCCTCACAATGGCCCAATGACTTTAAAATTGTTGCAAAAGTCCGTCACTAGCACCACTAAAGATGCAGCCCTTGGGGAGGCCCACGAGAGCCATGCCACTCTCCCCAATGTCGTTGGGTGCCCGCCGATCATGCCGCCGCCCGCCCCGCGCCGTGATCCGAAGCATGCACGTGATAACATCACATGAATGCATCATGTGATAGGTACTCTACCTACCCTCCCGGCGGGGGGTGTACAGTACATGGTACGGTACGGTACGGTACCGGTACTTATGCTCGGTACCTATGTTCTGGGGGTTAGGTCCGCCACCCTATAGGACTAGTTAGTTGCTAAGAGTTCAAACTTCAAGTCAATCATATTCTGCATGGAGTTAAAATATGCTATCCTATGCGGCCCTATCACGCCTTAGTCCTTCAGACCTCAGGCCTTGATTTCTTTATCTCATCGACGATCTCTGCGCACACTTCAAGCAATGCCTTTCCATACGTCTCAAAGTCGGAAACCTGATTTGAGATGAGCTACGAAAATCTGATGTTATATCGCGGCGTACCTCTACCCAAACTTGCGCACTGACACGGACCCACCACAAGTCGTTGTGGTAATATTGCGCGGCGAACATGTTGCGACTCGAGAGCAGCTTCTCTTTGAACATTGTGTCAATTTCTGGGTAGGCGTAGCCCTCTGGGATGGGGAGTTGTACGTTTGCCATGCTGAGAGTGCATTCGCCCGTGACGTCCATGTTTCGTGTGCCTAACACCTTTGCAAGGAGCTCTGCGCCTTCGACGGCGACCTTGTGGTTGTACTCGTTGATGGCGTGCTCCCCACCTAGCCACTCGCGGAAGCGAATGGCAGCAGATACGGAGAGGTATGGAACGAAGTCAATTGTGCCGTTCCCTAGAGTGCAAGGTTAACTGCAGAATATAGACACCCAGAATAAGAAAGCTCACATTCGTACTGAGCTACGAAATTGTTCTCGCCTTCCTTGCGGTCCTTAGGCGACTTGTAGGCATGCGAAGTCGGGAAGGAGTTCTGAACGATATGCTGGTTACGTTTTGGGACGTACAAAACGGCGGCGCCCCGCTTCGCAAACAACCATTTGTGACAGTTCTACCAGATAGTATGCAATTAAGTTCATAGGGTCTATGCAGACGGCAAGCACTCACAGAAACAAAGTAATCAGGCTGAATGACATCTAGGTTGATGTCGACTTGCTGGCCAATGCAGTGAGCAGCATCGACGGCACTCCAGACTTTCTCCTCTCGACAGATAGACACCATCTTCTCCCAGGGGAGCAAGCAGCCGGGATTACTGATAATCCCATCCACGACGGCCACAATTTTCTTCCCTTCGCCGAGCGTCGCATTCAATGCCTTTAGATGCTGGGTCCAGTTCTTCAAAATCTCAGCATGGCTCGTTGGGAACGAGATCTCAAACTTCGACACGCTTGGGTGGGAGCCAATATCCGAGAGATATTGTGCGGTGCGCTCAATCGAGTTATATGTCGTATTGCACACCACAATCACGTCGCCCGCCGCCCAGATAATGTTGCGCAGGACAGTGTTCAGGCCGTGCGACGCGTTGGGAACGATGACCACCTCGTCGACATCCTTTACGCCGATCATGGCGGCGACCTGCTCTCGTACCTTGACCAACGGGGCTTGGTACTTCAAGCGCATCCACAGGTCGGGCGCGCTTTCGATTTCATCTCCTTGTTCGATGCAGAAGCTGCGCACAGGACGTGGGAGGGATCCATAGGAGCCTAACACATCGCACTTCATTCAGCCCAACGATTTGAATACGCGCGGCATTCGAACGGACGCACCATGGTTTAGATTGAGATAGTTCGGATCGAAGAGGAAGTACGGCAGTAGGGCGTGGCCAAACGGAGGGGGAGGCGTCTGGTCATAGTTCGAGTCTATCTGGAGGGCGGTCATGGTAGGAGCCAGAGTTTTAATGACTCATGGTACCCGTCCGTCTCGCTGGATCATGCCCACCGATTATTGCCGTCTAAGTGCAGATAGGCACATTGCTGGCCTCTGGCCAACATGAATCTTGACATAAATCCAATCTCCTTATGGGTTCCTTGAAGCAGATCTTCGCGAAGGATGACCTGTTATTGAGTCTACTGGAGACATGCGCTTCAGCGGTATGGATTACAATACTACAGACTATGTACATGTTGTGACTGCGTATGTGCAAATAAGTAGTGGGCGTGTGCGAAATACTGCGACGATAGGATTAGACGGAATGCGTGGCACAAAGCTAGAAGTAAAATCAAGATATCAAACGGAAACACCAGCGTCCCAATCACTCTTGCTGATTAGCCCGTCTGCGCGGCAAACAGGACAGAACACCTCGGCGTCATGGCCATTCATTGTTACATTCCGCCCCATAAGCGCAATACGCTGCGAAGTCACCAAGCACGAAGGATGCAACTTGTGGGCGCAGGTGTGACCGCCTTCTGAACGGTGGATGAGAATCCGCTTCTCGTCGACGGTGATGTCTGGGTCATCGTCGGACGGAGCGACACCGCAAGACATATCGTCGCAACGCAAACCGCCTTCACGTTCCCTCTTCTCGACCTTTTCCCGTAAGGAAAGGCCAGGCGAAGGAGGAAGTGACCACTTCTTGCGCTCGCGTGGCATACGAGGACGCGTAGACGGCGGCGGTGCGCCGACAAACGTCTGCATCGGAAATGCACTAACGCCAGTCGGAGGCAGACCAGAAGTACGTAAGAACTGTGTAAAGTCGGGCAAAGAAAGTCCAGGTAGTCCAGGAGCCGCGGTATTTGAGGGTACTTGACCGCCAGCAGCCGTCTGAGGGTTCAGCGGGGGCAAATGAAAGGGGAAACCAAATCCCTGCGCTGCCCCGAGCCCATCAGTGGCTTCCGTGTTGGTCGACGGACCGGGCTGTCCATCCATAGCACCTGGAGCTGCGGTGTGGGGTGCAGGCGCTCCCATCATTTCGTCGGCAACATTTGAGAAAATGTTGTTGAGCAAGAATTCGGCGGAGGCATCGTCTTGAGCCTGCGCTGGCTGACGCCCAGTCCCCGAATAACCTTCCCTCAAGCTTGCCAGGAATTCGTTGAGCAATCCTCCGTGAGCAACAGGTGGAGGAGCATGTGCCGGCCCTCCGGGCGCCTGTCCTTCATTTGTAGGTTGAGGGTCAGGAGCAGTGTTCGGTGTGTCGGTTTGGGGCTGACTTCTGAGACCGCTGGTAAGACCAGCGAAGAAATCCGCGAATAGATTTGACGGAGGAAGCGCCGAGGCGTCCTGTTGCGCTGGTGCGGCAGGCTCGGGGGCTGGGGCTGGGGCACTATTGGGCTGGCCGGTAGGGATCGGGCCAAATCCAGGGAACCCGAATGAGAAGTTGAAGCTAAATATGTCATGACCAGACAGATTGTCAATGCCGCGACCCTCGCCAGTCGATGGCAAGTTACCGGGCGCGCCGTTGCTATTTTCCATATGCACAGTATCATGCGCTAGATCATTCCAGTCAGTGTAGGGCTACAGGACATGTTGAAACTAACCTGCTCTTCCGGGTGGTGATGGCCCACCCACAACCATACTAACAACGTCGATGACAACTCCTGGTCCACCGCTGAGTCGTACGTGATGCGCGTTTGATCCTGCAGGGGAAACACTATCAATGACTATATAGAAGAGAGTTTAGGCTTAACTGACCCTCAGGTGGGGCTGGTGGTGGTGGTTGTTGCTGTTGTCCATCAGTGGCTGGAGGAGGATTGGTGGGTGCATCTGAAGGTCGTCCGCCGAGTCTGCGTAAGAGCTGCTCGAAAAATTGCCTTTCATTGGGAGGGAGATCGTCGCCGATTCCGGGGACTTGTTGGTCGATCGCAGGTTGTGATGGCTCAGCAGGCGGCGGCCCCGTTGGTATTGTGGACGGTATAATCGGAGGGTTGGGGACTGCCGTGTCATCGTTTGGAATTAGAGGATTTGTCGGCGGTGTCCTGGCATTAGTAGCAGAAGGGCGGCGCCGGGGACGTCGCGGGGTGGCGCTGAGATTGTCTGGGTCGATATTGAAGCGACAAGTTGGACAAGTAGTCTGGCGTGGGCGGGAGAACCACGGAACTAAACATTGCGCGTGGAAAGCGTGGGCACAAGGGAGAGCCACAATCTTGCGCTGCTCCTCGTCATCACTCTTGGCCTCTGAAGACCGCTTTTCTCCACTTTGCCATCCCACGTTGATACTTTCGTCAATGAGTTTATCCCAACATATTGCACATCCCGCATCCCCGACCATCCCGTTGTCATCAAATTTGGAGAGACGCTCGAGACGGCGCACAAGACCGATTGGAACTTCTTCCAGTGCACTGACGAGACGCTTCGCACGCTCGGGGTCTTCCTGCTCTGGTACGTTGCCCATCGCAGCACCCATTCTGGCAAATAGGTTGTCGAGGGATATGCCGAGGGCTGCCAGACCACCACCACCCTCGCCCATTCGGATTGGGATGGGTCGCAAATTGCCACCCGGCCAATCAATGGTGAGACCGAGGAGTGGCGAGCGCCCGTGGGCTGGGTGATTTCCATCGGTTTGAGGCGGCGGTGCAGTATGAGGAGTTGTGGTCGCATCAGGAGCAGTGGATGATGGATTTGGGCCGGTTCGCTGGGATGG